TCACGATCAAGAATAAAAATGATGCTTGTAATGACCGTGCATTAGTGCTGTCAGAAGGGTAGCACTAACGGTGCAGCTGCGCAGGCTGCCCAGCTGTATCCAGCTCTTCCTAGCAAAAGATCCGACCAGTTTGTGGGCAGGTACGGAATCACGTCTAAACTGGCAGACAAGCGGAATTAGCAGAAGAGACTCCTCTTGCATATCTTCTTGTGAATCCTCAGGGAACACAATAGCGTCCCTGATCTCTAGTACTTGTAATTAAGAGGATGGCATCTTGGGCTGGAGTGTGCGGGAGAAAACCACTTCCACAGCACTTGGAGGGCTTGGTGCGGGGCTGGCTGACAGATATGGAGCCTTCATAAAGGTTCCATAACCTTTTGCCCTAAGAGACTGTACTTTTGACACTGCCGGATGGAATGACATAAATGTTTGTATACAGGTGATAGCGTGGTGATTTTAAAACGAGTCTCTCATTAAAGTATTTTAATGAACTGCATTCAAACAATGAATCCCTAACATAGCCTCAGTGTGCCTGCTAAGAGTAAAAAGCATAATTGCTAGCCAGCTACTGTTTTGCTTAGCGAGGTTTGTGTATTGTAATCAGGTATAGAGAAAAAAACCAGCAGGTGAGATTCGCATTTAATGTTTTCAGCTCTTGCCCTCAGAAATGTCACGGCACTTTTCTTCCATACATCCCCTTTACCTATAGATGTTTACAAAGAAAGTGGTAAAACAAACAAAACAAAAAAGACTTCATTCGCATTCCGCGTCTGCTTTCAGTCTCACACATATTAAATTTCACAAAACAGAAAGAAACAATAGAGCTTATTAAGAAAAACTTGTTCTGAATGGCAAATTAAGCATAACGGAAACACACACGTTTTCACAAGTACGTGTTTCTTTTCACCAATTGAACATTTATAACCTCCTTGAAAGTATGTAGTTGTCTCTGCAAAATGTTTCCGTTTTAGTTTACTTTCACCATATCACCCTGTTACACATAAATCTGTAATTCGGTCAGTTTTCAGAACCCTTCTAAATCAGACTTTCTTCGCCTTTATTTTCTGGTCAAATATTGTCCAAGCAAGTGATTTTCTTTCCCAGCTAAATAGCGAGAGAGATGCAATGCACTTCTGTAGGTACAGGCTAGTCTCCACTGAACATTCTTTGGCATGAAAAAGGCGACTATTATGATAGCCAGGGTGGAATCCACAGTCTCTGCATTCCCCTTCACGGCCAGTCTTCTTTATGTGTATAATAAAATGATGTATATGTTAAACAATCTTGGAAAATTATGTCAAAGGAAGCAACAGCCCAATAAGCCATATGTTCAGGGAACTTAACCGGTTCCACTAGGGATCAAATATCAGTTCATCTTTGTCTCCTTATATGCAAATATTTTTTAAAAAAATCCCATGTATAAAAGAGAGCCGAGATTTCATCCCCCCCCCCTCCATGGCTAAGTTAAGAAGCAAAGATAAAGTCTCCCACTTAGCAAAGGGCACAAAGGTTAAAATGAATGTCTCCCCCCTATTTGTGTATCTAAGAGGTCAGTATTATTTATATATTCTAAATTGTGCACCTAGCGTTTTTAACATTCCTAAAATGTAAGAAAATCTAATGCTTAGCATCGCGATGTACTAGACTTCTCCACACCCTGGGTATTGTAGCGATCTGGGGAATTGTTTTTGCAGCCTGGGATGTCAGAAAGCCACAGACGCATGAAAATCTCACCATCTGTATGCTCATAGAAATTCTCATAAAATATTCTTAAATAAAGGCATCATTTAAAAAAAACCCAACAATAACTAAACAATTAAAAAGCTATCGAAAGTAGCGTTCAACCTGGATATTAGCAGGGTCCTCATCGTAGGCCTAAAGCTAGCACTTTTCTTTGTTTGCCTAACCCCCAAATTCCCTGATAAGGCGCACAAATGATTTTAAATACCGCTTGCAAGCGAGAGGTTTAAACTAAACCGAGATGTGTGGATACTGAATTTCTTTAAAACACAAATGGGGTGGTGGGATGACTTTGTGGAGTAACTAGTATTGCGAACAAAACCCTCCTGTACATATTTCTCCGGTCTAATCCAGAGAACAAGGGATGTTTATTATTAGGAACTACCTTCTCCCTCTTAAAGGAGAGATTACATCGTTCATACAAACTCCTGCACATAATACAGCATCAATATGTTATTCCCTTAACATAAAAACATCCAGTTTGTGTAAATCTGTAATAAATAATATTTTAATGTTAAGGAGAAGTGTATAGTAATCAAAATCTTTAGGGGCAGGATGGAATAGAAACTGAGAAACATTTGACAGTAAACAATCCAACGCTCATTCTTCTGCCTCACACTACGAATATGGCGCATTTCGCTGGAGTAGAGCTGTAGATGCTATCACTCGAGGAGCTGCCTTGGTGAACTCCAGGGGTGTTGGAAATGGGGGGCAGTGAGCAAGGCAGAGCAGGCAGGAAGCCTGTTTTCCCTCCCCGCCTGGAGTGGGGTGAGCCGCCCAATGTAAAGCAAAGGAGAAGTGAGCGCCACGTTTTGTCCCACCCGAAGGCTCGCTTTTGTGACTCCTCGCAGCCAGCGACTGAATCAGGACGCGCCGCGTTTCAGGCTTGCAAGGCCAAGCGGTCTGCAAGGCACAAGGGCGCGCTCAAAGGGGGCCGGGGCGGCTGTGGGGCCTAGCAGCGTTACACAAATACAGCAGGGAACTCCAGCCTAGAGAGCAGCGGGGCTAGAGCCCTGATAACACGGCACAGCAGTGCGCAGCTTCCACCTAGACTCCCCACTCTTGGTACCTATTCCCTGACGTGGGATCGTCGGCCCGCTGCAAGGCCAGGAACGAGAGAGACGAGTGCCCGAAGGCATCAGCGCCTATGCCGTGGCGGGCAGCTGGCGCTGCAGTGTGTGGACCCCAAGGGATTGTGCACGTTGCCCCCAGGGGCTAGGCCGTCTCTCCTAGGGGCGCGCACGGGAACTGCCCCAGGCGACTCTGCTGGATGCAGGCCTGGCCAGTCCCTGCTCCCACTGCAGTCAGACGTGTTCTATCGGAGCTGGGGCTGCTGGGATCGGGCCGGGTTCCAGGCTATACACACGCGGCCCAGTGTTGTCTGGTGCGGAGGGCGGGGAGGAAGGAGGGATCGCGGCAGGCAGGCGGAGGGAGGAAGGAGGCCGGGCTGATTAGCATGCAGAAGCGCTCGCAAGCCCGGCTCCATTGTTTTAACACCTCCCCTCTCCTCCGCGCCAATCTGTCACCGTTCAGCA